AAACTATATCTACAATCATAGTTCTCATGAAAGCATTATCCCACCCTATAATAAGCCTTTCTAATATCTAATTTTGTACTAGAAAAACTATTGCCTAAAATCAAAGTGGTTTTTAAGTTGATAAAAAAGTTTTAAGGCAATAACAAGATTGTGTACGACTAGCATCTCTTAAATGGAATTTATAATGGTGGATAATATCATAAAAAGAGGTTTATGATGCCTAATAATACATTTAATAATAAGTATCATAATTACAATACTACACAAACTAATATGTTGAAAATTTGCGATAACTTTTGGTAGCCTAATTTTTGGTACTAAAGTAATGAAAACATGATTCATCGACCATATGTATGTTTTCCCGTAACAAATAAGAGGCTTTTGGACCAAAAGCAAAAGAAAAAAAAAGTTTCATATAGTAATAATAATGGCTATTTTGTTTTTATCCCCAAAAATTTTAATGTAATTTTTTAAAAAGACAAAACAAGTAAGTCTCTAAAACCCATAAAATAATACATATTTGAAAGTGTTATTGATAAGAATTTCAACAATCTCAACTTTTTTACTACACTGTAACAAATAGCTACAATTTCATTTTATTTATGTTAGAGAAAATTAAGATTATGTTTCTTTCTCTTTGTTAAAGTGTCATTTTCATTTTTATCTCTCGTGTTGAAACTTATTGTGCAAAACTTTCTCTTGATTATTTCTCTCTCTCTCTCTCTCTCTCTCTCTCTCTCTTATACATTAAAAATCATATCTATTTATACCATTTTTCTTTTAGATTTTTGCCTCAAATGTTCAATAAAATAAAGTTTTAGTAATAATAATTTTAATACTAATAGTTATATTAGTAGTAAATTAATATAAAAAAGTACTAATAGTTTAGCACTTAAAATTTTGGTTAATATTATAACTTAGTCTAAAATGAATTTGTTTTTTTATAAATTAGTCATCGAACATTTTATATTGTTTTAATCATTAATATTGTTTATTTTTTAAACAAAAAAAGAATCAAAGATAGGCTTTAAGGCTTCTTGAAGGAAAAGAACACTTAAGACTAATTTGAAAATTAGGGTAAAAAAATTGTCTTTCCCACCTTGTGTTTCTCATTTGTACAAGAATTCATTTATCTCTGCTCTCAATATAAACAAACAAGAAAATCACCACCCCCTCGATTTATATGTATGGTTTCTTACTTGACCACAAACACTAATCAAGGCACAGATAAATAATCTCTATCTTCAATCTAAACATCATAAAGGCCCATATCTTTACCTAACTCTTGATGGCCCCAACCTCATCTTCGCCAATTGTGCTTTCTTCAACTT